GTAAATTAAGTCTCGTTAATGAGATTGGAGTAAACCAGACCTTACTAATTTCTTGCAAATTAGAGAGAATTAAAAAATAAACTATGAACTTATGTTTCTCGTTAATGTTCTTGTTAATTCATGGATTACAGAGAAAAGAACAATTCCTTGTTGAATTTCATTGCGAATCAGAATTTTTTATGGTGGGGTGCTTCAACAATGAGCGTAAAGGAGCCAAAAGGGAAAGGAGTGCTTGATGGTGGAGGTGGTGCCGAAAGACGGCCCCCAGATGGTGGGGGTGAGGGGAAGAATATAGGCAAGGAGGGACGGGGGAAAGAAAATTTTGTTTTCCAAGCTGGAGGGAGGCAAAAGTCCGACGTGGGTCAGAGCAAGCCACCAACAAGAGGACGTTTATCATATAAGGAATCTCTTATGAGTGTAAACTCTTCAGGCTTTTTGTCTTAGAATCATGCAAATGAAGACATCATGCACGGATGGAAGAACTACTTTGAGATTATGAACGCTAGTTCGGCTGATGGCGGAAAAGAAAACTCAGAGGATGAAGAGATAGGTGGGGGGATGAAGGAATCAAAATGGCCTGTCTTACAGTTCACACCCAAGGAATATAAAGCATGGTGCAGACTATGAATGAACTCGCTCATTGTGAAACTTCTAGGCTATGAGATTTCGATGGCCAGACTGCGGGGATGGTTACCTAGGATGTGGAGGACACAGGAGCCCATCAAAGCAATGGGGCTCAGCAACGGGTACTACATAGTCTCATTCACAAGTCGAGAAGATCTTGATTTTGCTTCAGGAGGGGCCATAGATGATAGATGATCACTACTTACTAGTTCAAAGATGGAGACCCAACTTTAACCCTTGGAAGGCTGACAAAACACATAAAATTGCGGCATGGATACGCATTCCAGACCTGCCAGTGGAATTCTATAGTGTTGAATCACTTCGACGTATTGGGAACATGATCGGCAGAACCCTGAAGATTGACAGGTCTACATCTATTTATGACAAGGGAGGTTTTGCTCGTATATGCATGGAACTTGACCTTGGGGAACAGCTTCTTCCATTCTTCAAGGCTTTCGGAGAGGATCTCATAATTGTTTATGAAGGGTTACATTTGGTGTGTTTTTGCTGTGGAATGTATGGTCATGCATCTGAAAAGTGCAAGCTGCACAAGAAGGAAAGACAACCCAATCCGGATATGATGAGGAATGACAAAAATACTAGGAATGGTGAATACGTAGATATCACAGATCCTAATACAGGCAAGCAGGAGGTGGCTATGGAGAATTCGACGGTGAAGAAGGAGGTTCCGGTGGTGGAAAAGGATATTCCGGTTGAGAAGACAGAGTTGCCGATGATGGCTAACGGTTACGGGCCTGAGATGCTAGTTAAGCACCAATTTTGGGGATACGGATATGCCGGAGATTCTAGGCGCAATATCATCTCTGATGAAAAAATTATAGGAGGAAAATCTGGGTTATTGAAGGATATTGATGGTGGGATGGAAGAGAAAAAGAAAAAGGCTATAATTGAGGAGTTCACGGGAAGCCAAAAAAGGAATTATGGGAATTTAAGTGTAAATAATAATAATGAGGAGTGGGCCCGTGTAGGAGATAAAAGGAAGGGAAAGGCTAAAAGCAAATCACGTGGGAAAGAGAATGTGCCTCCATTTATGGGTAAAAGAGGAAGAAACAACAATCTGGATAATTCTGTTGGATTGGACACATTAAAGATTGCTACAAGGAATTCCTTTAGTATTTTTGAGAGTGGGCTCGGCCCGTTAATAACATATGAATGAAATACTCCTGGCCTAACAAAGAATGACCAAGGCCAAGATACTAGTATCGTACAAGGAGCTGAGGAAGTGAACATGGAGGTTGACCAAATTGAGCATTTTTCTGACAACTGTGTTGAGGCATTGGAAATTCGAAATGATGAAGGAACTAGCTATCAGAATGAGGATATGGATGCTAATATGGAGTCACGTGACTCCAACAATCAATAATTTTCTCATGAATTACGTCGTCTGGAATTCGCGAGGGACTTGCTCAAAAACGTTTCCTAATCTTATCCGTGAAATGAAGCAAAATTATCAGATTAATCTCTTAGCTTTGCTTGAAACTCGATGCAATGGCGATAAGGCTAAAAGGATTGCAAAGAAGCTAGGCTTTAATGAGTTTGACTGGATTGATGCGATTGGGTACAGTGGAGGAATCTGGGTGCTCTGGGATGCAAATGCAGTTTAGGTTTCTATTATTGAGAAAAGGACTCAATTTATTCATTTGACTGTTGAGAATCATAAGAAAGAGAAGTGGTGGCTTACGATAGTATACGATAGTCCAAACATAAATATGAGACGCTGCTTATGGCATGGGTTACGTCATATTGGTACGACTGTCAGAGGAGCATGGAGTGTGGTTGGATATTTTAACGCCACTTTATTTCATGATGAGAGACAAACAATGGCCAGGCATGGAACTGGAGTGAATCGAGACTTTTGAACATGGTTTGAACAAGCTGAACTCAATGATGTAGGCTTCTTTGGACCCATGTTCACTTGGAAACGAAATAATGTTGAGAGTCGTATTGATCGTGCTCTTACTAACGATAGCTGGCTAGAACTTTTTTCAAATGCCACGGTTACACACCTCCCTTGGTTTAAGCCTGATCACAGGCCACTCCTAATCCAATTAGATCGTAAAGACAAAACTAGCCGTCATAGACCATTTCGGTTCATTGCTGCTTGGGTCCTTCATGACGGTTTTGAAGATTTCTTTACAAATGCATAAAAGAATAATTGTGATTAGGTAACTCAAGTTAAATCATTCAGTGGTGACTGTATAAAGTGGAATAGAGAAGTGTTTGGCTATACCAAGACCCGCAAATGAAAGCTAATTCGCCGCTTGGATGGTATCACACAAGCCCTTACTAATGGTCAAAAATCAGAGCATCTTGACAAACTCCAATGTCAATTTTGGTTTGAGTTAGAAGAGGTGATGCTTCAAGAATACATTATTTGGGCTCAAAAAGCCAATGTTAATTGGATTCTTCACGGTGACAAGAATACCCACTATTTTCATAGTGTTGCTAATGGGAGACGCAAAGCCAATCAAGTGCATGCTATCCGTGACAATAAAGGAGAATAGGTTTATGATGAAGACCAAATCAAAGTGATGGCTACGAAATTCCTATCTAAACTCTTCACAAAAGAAGACGATAGGAGACCAAGGCTCGAATGTTATAGAAAGTTCCCCTTTATTGGTAATGATTTCCTAGCCGACCTTGGAAAGGAGGTAAATGATCTTGAAGTCAAAGATGCTATTGATAGTATGGGAGCTTTGAAGGCTCCAAGACCAGATGGTTTAGGAGCAATCTTCTTTCAGAGTCAGTGGAAGCATGTGGGTACCTATGTGACGCAATTTGTGAAATCGTTGTTCCTCAACCCGCAAGCTATCAACACAATCAATTCTACTTTGATTGTTCTTATTCCTAAGAAACATCCACCAGAGAACCTGAAAGATCTTAGGCCTATTAGTCTATGCAATGTGGTGTTTAAGGTTATTATGAAGATTATCACAACGCGGCTGAAGCCTCTTCTCCCTAACATCATTTCTCCTTGTCAATGTAGTTTTATTCCAGGACGACATAGTTCAGACAACATTATCGTGGTCCAAGAAGTTATCCATTCTATGAGGAATATGCAAGGGAAGCGTGGGTTTATGGCAATCAAAATTGATCTTGAAAAAGCATATGATCGAGTAAACTGGGGTTTCTTAGACCAATGTCTGAATGAACTTCAATTTCCAGAGCATATAAAGGCTGTCGTTATGAATTGTGTTACATCGGTATCCATGTAGTTGATCTTGAATGGAAACAAAGCAGATATCTTTAAGCCTGCAAGGGGGGTTCGTCAAGGGGACCCACTATCACCATACCTGTTTGTGATCTGCCTTGAGAAATTAGGCCACCTGATTCTAGAAAAAATGGAGGAGGGAATATGGAAGCCTATCAGATTAGGCAAAACTGGACCTCCCTTGTCGCATCTGTGTTTCGCTGATGATATCATTATTTTTGTAGAAGCTTCTACCCAACAAGCTGATGTTATACATGAGTGTTTGGGGAAGTTTTGTGCCAGCTTTGGAATGAAAATCAATGCTATGAAAACTAAGATGTTTTTCTCTGAAAATGTGCATCATGTTTAACGTGAAGAAATCAGCACTAAACTCGATTTTAGTAGGACTGGTGACCTTGGTCGCTATCTGGGTGTGCCTCTTCTGCATAAAAGGGTGGATAAAAACACATTCAAAGACACTGTGGATAAAGTGAAAAAGCGTCTATCTAACTAGAAAGAATCTACTCTCTCCCTAGCTGGGCGTGCGACACTGATAACCTCAATCACGAACGCTATCCCTGGATATGTTATGCAAACATGTAATCTTCCCGCTAGTACTCTTAAAATGCTTGACAAGTCCAACCATGACTTTTTATGGGGCCACATAGAGAGCTCAAGGAAAACACATTTAGTGGCGTGGAAAGACGTTTGCAGACCAAAACAAGAAGGAGGGCTAGGTCTTCGGTGAGCGTCTATCCAGAACTAAGCTTATGCCATGAAGATCAGTTGGGGCTTGATTAAGAAGCGTGAAGACTTATGGGTGCGAGTTGTCCGTGGAAAGTACAAGTGTGGGAGTGATATTATCCCCAAGATTAAGACAAAGAAACCTGGATCTAACCTTTGGAAGGGCATTAAAGATACCTGGGTTCACGTTAAAGACGGGCTACAGTGGTTTAACAATAACACCTCTGTGTGTTGGAAATGGGATCGAAATGGCTCCTTTACTATAAAATCAGCCTACAATCTTCTTTCTGGATCCAAGGGAAGCGAGAATGATAAATGGAAGAAGCTGTGAAAGGTTACGGCACCTCATAGATGCAAGACCTTCATGTGGTTAGCTTCCCAAAATAGATTACTCACAAACGAGGAGAGATTTAGGAGAAGTATGAGTGCAGATAATATTTGCTCGTGGTGCAATAGCACAGTTGAAAGTAGTTTGCACGTCCTTCGAGATTGCACAGATACAGGACAGCTATGGGGGTCTGTGATCAACACTAGATATCAACGAGACTTCTTTAATCTGCGAACAATAGATGATTGGATTAGCTGGAACTTAAAACAGGGTAAAAAATTGGAGTTTCAAATGAACAATGGATTATTCATGGTTCTATGCTGGAATATCTGGAAAAGAAGGAATGAACGGATATTTGAGGGGAAAAGTCGCTTCAATGAATGTATTATTGCCCAGGCGAAGGGCATGATGAGCTGTTTGGAGAGGGTTCAAACAAAGACAAGTTCTATTAATTGGTACGGAAATGGGATTCAGAACTGTGACCTACGATGGAAACCTTCAGAGACAAGTTGGGTGTCACTCTGTGTTGATGGTGCTTTCTCGATGACGTAACAGACTCGTGGGTGTGGTGGTCTGCTGAGGAACTCGGCTGGGCAATTTATCACAGGGTTTAGCTTACATTTAGATGAAGGTGACCACTTATCAATAGAGCTGTGGGCTATTTTAATAGGCTTAAAGATTGCTTAGGATGTTGAAGTTAGGAAAATTGTGGTGGAATCTGATTCAGCAGAAGCCATATCATTGATAGAGGTTACCAACTATTCTATACATCTTGACTGTCATATAATTATGAAAATTCAAAGCATGATCCGCCGAGCATGGGAGATTAGAATCTGTCAAATTTCTCGTGATGCAAATGTTGCTGCAGATCATCTGGCGAAACAAGCTCTTGATGCGTGGCTTGGGTTGCACATTCTTAGCTTTCCCATGGAGAGTCTTGGACGTTGCATGGATAACACTTATACTGTAAATGAGTCTAGAGTTTAGGCTCGTCTATTTCTTATAAAAAAAAGAATTTTTTTATGGTGGTGTTACTTTATAGTTGATGTGACACACGGTGGAGACTTTGATAAGATAAGATTTGTTGTCCTCTATTTGTCTTATTCGCATTGTCCATTGCATCTACCGTACATTCTGGGCCCAATGAGAATCTCCGTGCACCGATCGTAAATGGGTGGAAACTTAATGGGTTCAAAAATTTATTAACTGATAAATGATTTTTTATACATAAATAAGTAATTAAAATTAGAAAAGTAAAATTTTCTTAGAATAATATCAACCTTGCACAGTAAATTTTTTATTTTAATATTTAAAATAAGAAAAATGACAATAAAATGATGAATTAATGATACCTAAGCACTCGATAAAATTTTCTATAAAATAAAGTATAAATTTTAATTTAAATAATTATAAATAAGAATTGAAATTGTAAATTGATTATTATATTTATAATTTAAATATCATATTTACAATTAAAAATCTTAAATTTATAATTATTTAATTGATATTCACAATTAATTTTTAAAAAAATTATTAAGAATTAAAATGCCATTAATTTTTTTTAAATCTAACTATCATTTTTTTAAAAATATATTCTCTTCATTTAAAAATATAATACATTTTTTGAGGAATTGAATATTTAAAAATGTAAGGCATTTTTAATTTTTTAAGGTGTAATCATTGCCTTTTTTTTAAAGTACCCCTATTAATGAATGACTTTATATTTATTGTAATATATTTTATGAAAATAAATATATAAAGATAGGGTTAGTTTGATAGTAGGTGATTACTTTATTAAAAATGAAATTCAGTTAAAAATATTTTATATTTTTAAATAGAGGAAGTATAAATATAACTAATGTCTTATTCAAGTCTTTTTTCACCAACTAACGTCTTAGTTAAGTCGTTGGCAAAAAAAAGTTAAGTCACCATCAATTTTCCTTGCATTAGTTTTTTTAATAACAGTTCTTAAATTCTTAAATGACATTTCAACTTGTCCGTTTATTCTCTTGCCTCTCAACGTTCGTTTCTTAGTTTTTGCATATATATTCTGTTATTCCTTCTTCCATTCTAAGCGACACTTTTTTCTCATCAAAGAAGCATAACACGTGGGTTTTTTTTTTAAGAATATTGGATAACCTTATTTTAAAAAAAAAATTGCCTAAAAAAAACCTCACTACAAATTTATTTACTAACAAGAACTTGGGTTAGATTCTGAAATTAGGTCCTTTGCTGGCGTTAATCATTGAGGGTTAAATAACATGAATGCTCTTGCTGTTAAAAAAAGAAAAAGAAGCAAGATTAGAGTAAGGTCTTTTGCTGCTAGTATGTCACACATGTCATTTACTGTCAATATATCACAAGGTTCATTGTTGTTGATAATTTCATGTCAATATTTAATACAAGGTCTTTCGATGCTAATATATCAAATAAAGTCCTTGGGTGGCAAGTTATTGAGTCTTAAGGCACATCTGAAGTGTATGTGATATTTTTTTCATATATTTGAATACCATTTTTATATATTCAAATAAATGGAAGAAGAATCATATTTTCTTGAAGAGTGATTGTATATTGTGAAAGAAGAGTCGCATACACGATGTTTCTTCCATATATTCAAATGTCACTTTTACATATTTAAATAAATGGAAGAAAAATTGTATTTCTTTAAAGGGTGATTGCATATTATGAAAGAAGAGTTGCAAATGCAATGTTTCTTCCATTTATTTAAATATCAATTTTGCATATTTGAATAAATGAAAGAAAAATTGTTTTCTTTGAAGGGTGGTTGCATGTCACGGAAGAAGAGTTGCATATGTGATGTTTCTTTCATATATTCAAATATCATGTTTGCATATTTGAATAAATGGAAGCAAAATTGTGTTTCTTTAAAGGATGGTTGCATATCATGAAAAAAGAGTCGCATATGCGATGTTTCTTCTATATATTTGAATATTACTTTTGCATATTCAAATAAATGAAAGAAAAATTATGTTTCCTTAAAGGATGGTTGCATACCATGAAGGAAGAGTTGCATATGGTTGAAGATACTGGTATAAGGTCCAAAAAATGACATCAAGTGCAAAAATTTTAGAATATCCAAAATGGTTATTCAAACAAATGGAATAAAAATTACATTTTCTTAAAAAATGGTTGTATATCATGAAAGAAGAGTTGTATATGATTGAAGATACTTGCATAGTTATAAAATATGATACTAAGTGTAACTTTTTAGGATATCCAAAATGATTGTTTGAATAAATGAAAGAAAATTATATTTTTAAAATATTCAAAATGCATATTCGAATATGGTTTAAACTTTAGGGTTTGAATATTGCGCCAACATTTATTTTTAGAATATTGCAAATGTATATTCAAAAAAATTTTCCTTTTTCATGAAAATACTAAAGATTATTTTGAAAATGCAAATAGATATTTTAAAAATTTTAATCATTTTTCATGAAAAACCTATGGATATTCTGAAAACTAAATAAATATTCTAAAAATTTTCTCCTTTTTCATGAACATATCAAAAGATTTTATCAGTGGTCACTATTGTTATATGTAAAGATTAATCACACTAATTTAAAGTATAAAGAACAACAATTAAATACCAACAAATCCATTTATCATTAAACAATAATATGTTTTACATACCTTGATAGTATAAATTATATTACATTACAACACAAGAATCCTAACTTATGTATTAGTATGAATATTTATAAAATGATACATTACAATACATGCTAGCACATTTTCCCAATTTTTATTTTCCCCATATTATGTAGTTGAATGGTTGCCCTTCCTATTGGATTTGCTTGCTGCAAAAAATAACATAACTTATTTAGTATAATCCAAGTTATTTAATCAACTACATTACTAAAGAAAATCTAAGTAAGCCAAGATTTTCAATCTACAAGAAAAGACAGTATTTTGAAACATGTAGTTGATAACATAGCAAGCATAGATCTTAGATGTCACAACATTCAGATTGTATAAGTGGTTTAGATCCCTCCATGTTGTTTGTGTAATGCCATTCCTTTGTGGGTCAAAGAGAGGCACCAAAAGTAAAAGCCACATGTCATGTTTAGTTGCTTTTGCTCAACTTCTTCAATATTATAATATGCAAAAATTACAAAGGGAAACTATTTTCAACATTGAAAAGGTTGAATATCCAACCATCTTAGAGAAACTCACATATTGACACTATAATATGCATTTTTAAATTGCTTAAATGCTTACCAAAGCAAAGTGTTTGCAAGGCTATTGTTTTCTAGAAATTCATAGACCTATATACAATGGTTTTCCTCTATACAGCAGCTAACTAGTTGCATAATGTTTGAATATCTTATGTTTGAAATTATAACATCCGGAAAATTTTAACCCTGATTTATTAACTTAATTAGGGTAGTTAGTGAGTTAATGAGGTGTGTGGCCAGAGGAGCTTAACTTGACATAAATTGTTATGTTTTCAGCCCTAAAAGTGGGTTCGGATCGATGGCAGGCCACCTGGGCAAAGAAAGATGATGAAAATGTACAAAGTTGTGTTCTGTGCCACACGCTGCGGCATGTGGTTGGTCCGCCACGGTGCACGAACACAATTTAAACGTAACAGGTTCCTCTATGCCATGCATTGCGGCGGGGGGCAGTGTGTGTCACGACGCACAACCAAAAATTAGATAAATCAACTCGTGAGCTGCGTGAAAATAAAAGAGAGAAAGAGGAGGAAAACAAAGAGTTTGGTTTTGGCTCTACTAGGGCACGACATTTGGTTCCATTTTTGATAGATTGAAGCTCCCAAACACCTAAGGTAAGATCATGGTGCCTTCTTCTTCCTTTCTTTCCCTCATTTATGATTATTTATGGTAGGGTTTGAGTTGAGAGATGGATTTTTGGTCCATAAGAGTATAGGTCTGATTCCATTAGTTAAAATGAGATTAATAGGAGTGATTTAATGTATTGGAATACCACATTGATGATTTTAGAAGTGGTTGGTCCATAGGAGCATTTAATATCCGAAATTGGTATTTATGAGGTAGTTAGGAGAGATTAATGTGCATTAATGATGGTTTGAGGTGTTATTAATGATAATGTGTATTAATGAAATCTAATGAACCCATTGGGTATGAATAAGTAGTGGTTATGAGTCGGTTAAAATAATGTATGAGGAGTTTTATATTAATAAAGCTTGAAAAGCTAGATGATAATGACATAATTATGACATGGTTATAGAGAGGTTCATCTTGGCACCATTCAAGCTCATTAAAGCTTGAGGAAGTTGATATAGTGAGGGGTAAACCTTTGACCTCTCAAAAGTTTGAGGTAACAGGGAGAAACTTAATTTTTATAGTTATATGTTAATTGTGTTATGAAATGTGTCTTATGGTTAATTTGATGATGCATGTTGGCAAATACTTGATTGTGAAATGGTTTTGGAGAAAAGAAAACCTTGATTCTACCACCCTCGATGTTTTATGAAATTACTTGTGATTTATTACTATAGGTAGAGAATTGTGATGAATTATGTGTTAAAATGTGGAGTATACGTGTTATGCGAGTTCATGTGTTGAGTAATGAATGTTAAAATGCACATTTTGTGTCAATTATATATAGCATGATCATTGGCGGGAATTTACCTAGGGAGAGGAGTAGATTTATTGAAATTCACGTGGTATTGGCAATGACCGTTGGAATCAGGAACTAGCCTTAGCACCGACCATTGGAATCGGGAGGTAGCCCTTGTCCCATGATTGATTCGGGACTGTCCCACTTGTTCTATGAGGGACTCAAATCTAACTAGTCTCTACTGGTTCACGAGGAGGCTAGATTAAGGGTACGACACCCCACGGTTGTTAGTATTGGGGAAAACTAAATTGCATAAGTAAGTGAGTTAACCCTGACCCAGTAGCTCCTCACAAATGGAAGGTTGGGTTAGTCCGTAAAGGACGTAGCCATGTGATAGCCACTGGTATCATGTTGGAGGTAAC